TTCCATCATGTCTCAATCCTGTTTTCAGGTATTGCTCTAGCTTTATTTTGTGCTTGGTTAGATAATCTTTTGTCACTGAGGCGTGTTTTTGTGCCTGTGTTGGTCAACCTTTGACTTTTAAATCACACTAGAACACAGTGATGGAAGACTGCAACACAAGATGTAGAGATGGATAGAAGTACGCTTGTCTGCCCTGTTCTGACAGAAAGCAGAAGATATCTGGTTTATACTGGACAGGCCTCGGGTGATTACAGTGTCCAGATTGAGCCGCTCGGGCTGAACTCTATTTCTTATCTGGAGGTGAAACTCAAAGGACTGGAGCACATATAAACTATCTTGTTATTGGGTTATGATGTGCCAGCCCGTTCTCATCCTTTAACGTCATATAGAGCGCTATATGACAAAACGGCGCTATACTACGCACATGGCACCCGTTATCGTTAATATAACACGCGAACCCAAGACGTTATAAATACTTTAGCGTGAATATGACACGTACACCCTACCCCACACCTAAACTTAGCCCTCACAGCACGTATTATATTAACGATAACGGGTGCCTTTAGCGTAGTATAGCGCCGTTTTGTCATATAGCGCTCTATATGATGTTAAAGGATGAGAATGCGTTGGATGTGCAGTACTATTACATATCTGATCCAAAACCTACCAAGCTGCCTTTCTATCTAGTGCCTATATACAGTATATAGCTCTTCTAGGTAGCGTCCTAACCAAAATGGGACCGTTTTGAAACATCTTATGCAAATAACGTTGAATCTTAGTTTGGGTAGATGTCACATGGTGTCACATTTGTCATGATTAAACTAAAAAGTCAAACTTTTAATCTGACTTAATCTAATTTCACTGTGCACTTTAAAGTGTGTTAAGAAACGCCATGGAAGTGTACACTTAAGTGATATCTGCATACAGCTTTTTTGGTAAAATATACTTTGATGATTTGTAGTTTATTATACCATGGTCTGGGTGAATACTCGATTCTGATTGGCTGCAGGGTGTCCGTTAGAAAGTGATAGAGGACACCTAGTAAAGTAGTTCTGGTGAAACTGCCTGTTTACCATTCGAAATTTCTAAATGCATGCGCTGCCTACAACAGCTGTGAGTAACCATAGCAACAGGCAGTCAAACGCTCTATCAAAACAAACATCTAACGTTAGATAGCCTAATACAGCAATGAGCAACTTCGTTATTTCTTTTAACATTTATGGAGAATATGGCAACTTTGACGACTGGTATGCTGTAGGTCGACTCTCCGATGCTGGACTGGAGAGCCGTCAAATAATGTCGGTGACAGGCCATCGATGCGAGAGCAGTCTGCGGGCTTACTGGGCTCCGTCTCTCCGTGAGAGACGAAGCTGGAGCAACGTACTGTCTGCATCAAGTGCTCATCATGGGCAGCAGTAACGTTACCCAGCTTTTGTGGATCCTCCTGACTGGCCGACTTTTTCAAATTGCACTATTTGGAAAAGTTGAAAATAATTGTAAATAAAAAAGCTAGCAATAGCATGTAGGCAAATGAGCCTCTCTTTGATCTGATTAATTCATTGCCCTCTATAAGCGCAAATCGCTGGTGCTCAGAACTAATTGTTTGTTTGTTTTTTGTGTGTGTTTTTTTTTTTTTTTAATTTGTTTGATTAATTGTTTAACTCCGCTGCGCGTCGGCCGGTTTACGCCTCGCCGTCGTCCATTAAAACCTGACAATGGACACCTCGTCGTGCATTAACCCTTACTTAGTGCACGTTCAATATAATTAAGAGCAATTCTTTTCCACAAGGTTATAGGCTTGTTTTCATTTGCACCAAATTAAATATGGCATAGCATGTTGCTAAGCTAATTAAGGAGTATTTTTAATGGGGGAAAACACACTCCATTCTTAATTCAAATTGTTATCAATACTTCAGTATTGAAAGGAAAAATAAATGTAATTAACACTGTCCTCTCGAGCTCATTGCAGTGCACTCTTGGATTGCCTTGTTTTGTGAGGGATTAGAGGTGTTGCCGGCTAAAGAAGCCTGCATGTATGTAGTGATTCTTTCACAGAATTTGGCTTTGTATTGCCTTGGGCAAGGTAAGATAGGATTATGCATTGGCAAGTAGCTGTCCGTATAAATACAACTTTCTCATTCTTACACTATAGTTAGAATGGTTGGAACCCGTACAGAGACGTCGTAATGGACATTGTTTCCCCTCAAAGGTCTGAAACTTGCTTATGATGCTGAAATTTTAAAAATGTGTATCAGTGACTCTGCATTTGATGTTATACAATTATGCAGAGGGATATTTTCAGCCCATTCTCACCCCCAAGGCGTCACCTAACTGACGCCTTGGGAAGCATTTGGACATGCTTCAATATCTGACGCTTTAGGCGCCCTTTAGCGTCAGTTAGATGACGCCCTAGGATCGCGTGTACCCTACCCCCACCCCATACTTAAACCTAACCGCGTCCTCTAACTGACGCTTTCCTTTAGCGTCAGTTAGATGACGCCGTAGGATCGCGTCATGTAAGTGACGCTAAAGGGCGCCTAAAACGTCAAATATTGAAGCATGGTCAAAGGTGACGCCTTGGGGTGAGAATGCGTTGATATTTTAAAGGGTTGGTTCACCCAAAAATGACCAACCCCGTAAGACATTCGTTCATCATCGAAACACAACTTAAGTTATTTTTGATGAAATCTGAGAGCTGGATCACTCCTGCATACTAGTCCATAGGCTTCTTGAGGGATTGAAACTTGCCGTCCTCGAAAAGTTATTAAAGACATTGTTAAAATAGTCCAAGTGACTTCAGTGGCTCAATCTTAACTTCATCAAGCGACGAGAATACTTTTTGTGCGCAAAAACAAACATAAATAATGACTTTATTTCAACTATTCACTTCCTTCCCTATGTGATAGTGTAGAGCTAAGTCACACGTAGGCTCACTATTGGCCGACGCTGGTCATGTGTGTGATGTTTTTAGCGCACAAAAAGTTTAGTTGTTGTTTGATAAACTTAAGATTCAGCCACTGAAGTCACTTGGACTATTTTAACGATGTCTTTAATAACTTTTCGAGGCCAGCAAGTTTCAGTCCCTCAAGAAGCCTATGGACTAGTATGCATGTGATTCAGCTCTCAGATTTCATCAAAAATATCTCAATTTGTGTTCCGAAGATGAACGAAGGTCTTACGGGGTTGGAACAACATGAGAGTGAGTAAATACTGACAGAATTTTCATTTTTGGGTGAACTAACCTTTAAACCAATGAGGTTTCACTGTGGGTGGAGCTTCGCATTAGAAACCGGCCACCCATCACAGCTATATGAGTGGTTAGGATCATTTATTGGTTATTGCCTTATCGCATCACATCTTACGACACATAGTTGCTTAACTAGATTTCAGATACATTTTTACATGCCTCTCTTTTTCCACCTCTTTCTATCCCTGATTTTTTCTGTCTCTGAAAGTACCATTCTGTCTTAATTAAAAACAAAACAGCAGTGCCCCTCTAACAGATGGCACTAATTGGTGAAAACAGTTAGTGAGTAAACAACTTTACAGTGTATTACTGAATCTCAATGCAGATGTCCTCATTGTCCTTGAATACAAATAAAATGTTATTGAAGGAGACGTCCAAGCCATATCAAGGAAAAAATGCATCAATGTGCAAAAAACATACAGAACACCTTGGCAACAAAGAAACATCCTGACAAACACCTAATACTATAGTCAACCCAAGTCACATTTATTTATATAGCGTTTTTTACAATAAAGAGTGTTTTAAAGCATCTCACAGTAATAAACAGGAAAATAACAGTTAATGCAGAATTCTTTCCTTGTTTGCAGTTCCGACTCAGTCAAGCGTTAAAATGGAGTTTTCAGTGCACAGTGTGATTTTTTTTTTTTTTTTTTTTTTTTTTTTTTTTAAGTAAATATACCAATTTAATTCATCTAAATGTATTATTTTTTTATGTGGACTGGAAGGAATTTTTGGCATGATATTTTTTCTTTTAAAAAATATACAATTATTGTAACATGGACAAAAAAGGCAGACTAAAACATTTTTTTTTATTTAATTTTAAACTGTTTACACTCCTCAGACTTGCATTTAAAAAGAGCACCCGGCAACAGTTGCTAAGGTAGGATTGGTCAGCAGCAAAGTGGGGCTTAGCGAAGGGTCTATCATGATTACAATCTGCTCAATAAACGGGTGTTTACTGTTGTGAAGGCGAAGCGAGAGCTGCTCTGATGTAATGTTCCTGTTAAAAACATTCTCAGATGAGTCAGATGCACAGCTTGACGACTCGGGGAGGGCTGCGGGTGCATTCCGTTTGATTAGACGCGTCCCTGTTGGTTGGTTACTGGCCCACACCACACATTGCCTTTACCAGAGTCCAAGGACAATAGGAGGCCTTACAGAGCTGTGGGGAAAGAATGTGATGCAGCATTGCCGCAGTGGATCCTTAAGGTTTGTCGACAGGTCTTGTGGAGTTGTGTTAGGGTATTGTGATTGCCGCCCACTGAAGGTCTGTGAGAGTTTGTAAGTAACTCGGCGGGTGGAAAGCAGTGCCTCTGCATATAATAGCTGCTGCTCCAGACTGTTGTCCATGCTCTATTGCATACAGCTCCATCTGCTCTGATCAGTGAGTGCAGCAGTATTACAAAAGCTGTAAATCTGTTTTCTATGCATACTGTACCTCTCATTTTCCTCCCTCCATTTTATTAAAAAATTCACAACTTGATTTTTAAGGGAAATAGACTATAAAAAAAGACAATTGGCAATGTGTATTTGCTTTCTAGCGTTAATATTAGGTATCGCAACATTTTTGTTAAAAGTATAAATGAAAATCCTTTCCTAAGTTACTTATTCTTATGTCATTACAAAACCTATAAGATCTTCATTCATATTCAAAACACAAACGAAGATATTCATGATGAAATTGGAGAGAATTCTGTGTTGGAATTCTATTTTCTACAAGCATTTAACTGTCTCTTTCTTTCTCCATGTGCAGTGAAGAACACATGCGCACCCTTAGAGTTTGCGTGTGCGAACGGTCAGTGTGTTCCTGGGCGTTGGCGATGTGACGGAGAACCTGAGTGTCCAGATGGATCAGATGAGGCTGATGCCACTTGCAGTAAGTCACATCACATCATAAAACTCCAGCCCGTTCTCATCCTTTAACGTCATATAGAACGCTATATGCAAAAACGGCGCTATACTACGCACATGGCACCCTTTATCGTTAATATAACACGCGAACCCAAGACGTTATAAATCCTTTAGCGTGAATATGACACGCACACCCTACCCCACACCTAAACTTAGCCCTCACAACATCATGTCTGTGTATCTATTAGTTGTAGCAAATCCGTAATTACTCTGAAGCAGCTGCATGCATAGCAAATATAGTTCGCCAAGAACAAATACCTTAGCATTGCAATGTTCTTATGTTCTGACATGATGTTTTAAGCTTCACATCGACTAGTCTTCGAAGTCCACTTTTACGTTCCATTTCAAACAGTTAAAATGACAATTGACAAATAAATGTAAACTACACGATCGCTCTACAATATATGTTTGATTATACCATATGGATGCTCAAAATTAATCAGGTAAATGCATGTTCTAAACGAATGCACTGCTGCATTGTAACACACACATACAGACAATAGCGCGCGCAAAAAAAAAAAAAAGCTATTATGTAGGAGCAATAGCCTTGTGGGCAGCGCTGTGTGTCATATGCCATAGCTGTGCACAAGGCAACCCGCATTCGAGTCTCAGCTCAAGATTTAGGCTTATTTGTTCATTAATGACGTCATCAGCGACTAGTTAACGCCAACTCAACTTTAATCACATAAATGTTAACTTCAGCTGAAATCTGAAATCGTTCAACCCTCCATCATAAACATGGCAAAACTACTCTGTGAGTTGTTGTGATTTAACTAATTTTAAATAATACATATTGGAGAAGTTTGCCGAGGCCCCTGGTTGAGAACTTATGATTTAAATGATTGTTACAATTTCAAATTAAGTTAAACACTAGAGAATAAGAAAATAATAAGAAAACTGCAAAAGAAAATAATTTGGACTCAGTTTATAAAAACAGGCACATTTGTTTTTACAGTATAGCTCTAATGGAAGTCAACAGGGCAAATTTATCCACTTAAGAAATCTCAGCATTAAAGGGATCACATGGATAACTTTCAACAGCTCTAGTTACATATATTTTTGTACAGAAGAGTTAATATACATGCTGTCATTTTAATACAAGCTTCACATTTCAGTTGTTTAACCCCCAGAAGGCCTTATTCATTATGAATCATCCATAATGCTTTACTGTGAAATGTGGGACAAGTCTTTTTTTTTTTTTTTGGTAAGCCGAGTGATATAACTTGCATTGAACCCAGAACATTCCTTTAGGCTACTAATTTTAAACAAACTCCTGTAAGCTGCACCTGAAGTCAAGTTAGCCTCTCAGTTTAAACACAGTCACTGATTGGCCACCCTGTGTGTTTGCTTAGCAGAAACATGATTGTGTTGTCTGATGTTTGGTCTGATTGATTTGTACAGGAAATGTTCTTTCCTCTCTGTGTGAAAATTAAAGGTGACATGTTGTACAGTTCATGTAGATAGCATCACATAAACTCTACTGTATGTACTCACGACTTTGTGATCTATTCAAGTCTGAAATTCTGAATTTTGGATTTAGTGACTTGAGAAGCAACAATCCTCCTTTTCAATATATTTTGTACCCATGGATCAAATTATAGAGGTGTTATTTTATTCAGTGGAAGTTATTTCAAAGCTCATCAGAGAATCTCATCTGGTATTTAATTACATTTTTACTTTCTGCCATCGCGTGTGCACTTTTATAATGAATGATTCAGTCCCCATCCCCAGCCAGTTCAGAAAATGTTAGTTCAGGGATGATGTTCAGTGGGAATACATGAGAGACATCTACAGAATGGGCTGTTTGTGCTAGAGTTCCCATTAAAGATGAATGAGTCCACAGTTCAATTCTTCCCCAAGACAAAACTTCACCACACTGTACTAACTGATATCACAGAGAAACTAGAATGACTTGTAGCTTTTGTCCTGTGGATTGTTCCATCTTTTGGTATGTTTGTCCATTTTTCATTTTTAGTATGTAAATATGAAATAATAAAGAATCCAACAGGTCTGAAGCATAGGCTATTCTAAACATGATATTGGACCAGTTTCTACTGGCATACCACAGGGCTCGATTTTAGGACCGTTACTTTTTAGTCTCTATTTATTCCCGCTTGGCTTTTCTCAGCATTGCCTGTTGGCTGTCCATCAAACACAGTTATTTTCCATGGGTGAAAGAGGTTTTTCTATAGCTGCTCTCAGGTTGTGGAACCAACTTTCTGTCAGTGGTGGAGGAAGTACTGAATCTCAGTACTTAAGTAAAAGTACAAATACCCAGATAAATATTTACTTTAGTAAAAGTAGAAGTAACACAATGACAACCATACTTAAGTAAAAAGTAAAAAGTACTTTATTTTAAATGTACTTTAAGTATTAAAAGTAAAAGTACTTGCATAACAATTTATTATCTTAATGTCTATTTTCTAATGATTAATAAAACATTTAATTCTAACTCATTCAACCTAATAGCCTACTCCTATAATGATGTTCAATAATGATGGAAAAAAATGTCACCATTTCTGAAACAAGCTTGCAATTAGGCAATATCATGCTTATCCTTACTATATGTTAACATGTTTGGCAGTAAACGCGATTCATTTATGGTGTAATTCTGAACCTCTTGGCTTGCCATAATCCTAACCAAACCAAACATATATTACACACGGTGTGTTTCCTATGCACGTAAAAACAAATTTTCGCTTATGAGTTGCACGATAAACACACTGCGTGTGAGACGCATTTAGTGTGACCGGGTTGATATACTGTATCTATGGCAACCAAACGTCACTGGTGAGACAAACGTGCAACGAACGGACGGTCAGATTACGTTTTGGCAGGGGAAAAACTGATCAGAAAATGTAACGAAAATGTAACAGAAGTTGTAGAAATGTAGTGGAGTAGAAAGTATAATAATTGCTGCAAAATGTAACGAAGTAAAAGTAAAAAGTAGGCACTATTTATTGTACTTAAGTAAAGTAAAGATACGTGAAAAATGTACTTAAGTAAAGTAACGAAGTATTTGTACTTCGTTACATTCCACCACTGCTTTCTGTTGATATTCAGGAAACACAGTCTCTTGGAATTTAATTTATTTGATTTTAAACTAGTTTACTGTTAATCGCAGTAACATTGTTGATTTCTTATTGTTTTGAAAAAAGGTTATTATATTTCCAACTCTAAATTCGGAATATATCAGCTCAAAGTTATTGTGAACGCACACCTGTGACCGCACATCAGCCGGATTCAATATTAATGTGCCGAGTTGCTGCATGGCTTGCCAGCAAGTATAATGAATTAATGAAGCAGGCAGGCAAACTACAGTCTTTACGCTAAACATCTGGGACTCAAAATCTATTTCAACACTGAAGAAAACAAATGTTTCAGGAATAAAAAAGTACAACAAAGGACTGTTATGACTAAATTAAATACTTACGCATAAACTATTTATATTGTTAATATGGCAGTAGTACCAACATCAATATGACAAAAGAGAGTAAGACACCATGTCCAATAAATAGTTACATTTATTATTAGCATTAATAATAATGTTAATGAATGTGGAGTCTTGGTGTTTTTCTATGATTTTTATATTGGTGCCTTTAAAAAAAAACACTTATTCTCTTAGCCATATTACTTTCTCCAGTTGTTTCACTGTGATCAGCTAAGCACATGGGTACTCAGTAAATTAAAGCTAACGTGTTTAATCTGTCCAGCAGGCCTCTTGTTGCTGTTTTGACAAGTGGAAAAATAGACACTGATTATATTGATTTCATGTGGCCAGTATGAGCATTTTGTGAGTTTCACAATAAAACCATGGCTCTGTTTCCATGACTACAGTACACCGGCATCTGTAGGTGAGGAGCACAGCTGGGACGAAACGTCATATTAGATTGACTGCAGCTCAAATATGAGAGCTCCCTGAGAGCTTTCTGCTCTTTCCGAGCAGATTTGCCAGTAATGTGGATTTAAAAAAAAAATAAGTCATTTTCTTCCAGCTAATGCATGTGCATTTTATTGTATTTATTTATTTCATCAGTATAGGCGACTCATTTCACGAGTTTGCATGCTAATAGGATTTCATAATCTTTAAGAAGCATCTTTAACAGAAATGCCGAACAAAAGAGTTATCTAATGCATATAAATGTAATAAATACTCAAGGCACATTTCAACAACTGCTCTCATAATGAATTCACAAAGATACTCTATGTAAAAACCATTAGCTGATAGGCAAGATATAAGAACCAATTAGATGCTGTTTATTTGGTGGTCTATTCATTTGCATAAATAGTTGTTATCTAGGATTGTATTTTTTTAGTTATACAGGGTTAGTTCCCGGTTAAAAAATGGTCTTCGGTGGTGGCGGACAAGCACCTTCAACAACAAAGTACCTTACCCAGCCCAGTATACTCATAATAAATCCAAAATAAATGCAAAGAAACAGTTTTTAATATTAACTTATCTTATTATACATGAAAAAAAAAACACCTAGGTAATTTATACTATAGTCACTGAGGGACTCAAAGTGAACAACAAAGTAACGCATTCATGGAAAAGTGACATGTCTTTTGCATTTACACTCCAAGATTAAATGCACAGGGCATTTTTTTATAGTATCAGATTGTTTTGTTCCTTTATTGATATTGTCACATTAAATGATCAAAATAGATCAAAATAAATCTTTGGCGGGACAAAGATTATTTTTTGCAGCAGCCAAAATATTTTCAAAGCAGGAAAAACCCTGGTTATTACTTAGACTTAAAAGATGAGATGAACAGATAAGCAATTTGTCATCAGTGGACACTTTAGTCCACTGGTTTCTAGTCCAACTTTTTGGTGATTGTTTTAATAAACCTTTACAGTCTTACCAAAATATAAAAGGAGATACATATATTTTAATATATAATGACCAATTTTTACAGTGAGAAAAACATCCACCAGTACGATTTAAACGTCACGCTGTTTTG